GCAGGCGTTCCCTTTCCCCCCGCCCGACTCCACCTTTTTTTTTTTTTATGCCGATCTTCCTCCTTCCCCACCCCTTAATACGCCTGCTACGCAGGCTAGGTAGTATTAGTTTATCAACTGATTTAATGGCGAGAAATTGGCCACCGTAGAGTGGTTCAAAAGCTGCCGTTTTGAGTTCGTTCTGACGAGGAACTAATACTTCGAAAGGTCAGTTCTAGAATGTCTCAACGGTGGCCGATTCACACTATCAAATCAGTTGACAAAACTACAGGTATCCAGCTCAGCAGAGTTGCGCAACTCTCTTGATGACCGCCAAATGTTTCTTGAAAACATACTGTGACAGCGCAGCATGCTCGTCGGTGCGCGACGGACCTATCCGCTGACAATGTCCTGTGAGATTGATTTGCAAGGGGAAAGAGCATTCCCTGTAAGAAAATGTAAGATAAATAGCTCCACCCCGCCCCCCTCACCGTTTTTGATACCTTCCCAATATTGCAATTAAGCACGAAAGAGTTAGCTGTTTTGAATACAGAGTCCCAGAGCCTCTGAGTAAGAGAGGGAGTTCAGGTGATGTTGTAACGAGAATAAATGGTTGGGAAAAAATCTCAGTTGGATGCTGATTTATTACCATCAATCGATTTTAACTACAATTACAGAAACACATGAATGTGATCAGAAGGGCGAAAATATACAGACGCGGACTGTCATCCAAGTTATAAAGAGGTCTTAGTGATCTTAGTGATCGCGATTATAATGATCACTCAAAAGATGCAGTTATAAAACATCAAACTAAACTAACACACAATACGTTCTTCCTGATCAAAGAGTTTTACAGTTTTGTTTTTTGTTTTTTCCTGTTACTGAAGTCAACAGCGTTTGAGCAACAAAACTTCAAAAAGGAAATGAACGAGAGACTACAGTTTGCAAACCGAAAAAAAAGAATCGTTTTGCGTCTAGAACCGAAAAACTTCCATTTCGCTCACCCTGAAGTTCGGACTTCCTGTTAAAAATGTGTTACAAGTTTGTCCTGATGGGCATTGGTAGATATACAGATGTGTCCTGCAGTTGTTGGAATTTGGTGCATCGCAAATATAAAGATCATGATAACTTTCACCTCCAAATGTTGGCCCATAGCTAGTGTGACAATACATAGCATATTCTTCTTGTCCACTCTGCAAAGGTATCTTTGTTGGTGACAGACCACTCGGGTTAACGAGACTGAACAGAAACGAGTTTTCTGCTCTTTTGTAGGAGTTACTACCTAGAGATAAAAACAAAAGAAAAAACCATGCCAACCAATTAAAGTCAATGCATGATATTTGGAAGGGAAAGGGAGGGAGGGAGGGGAAGGGATGGGACACGCGAATAAAAGGCTCGCAAGGCTAGCCGCAATTAGGCTCCGATAAGTTATACCGGCATAATTTCGGGCATAATGTTATAGTCAAAGCATAGTGCATAATGACTAAAATTCCCGAGCTTAAAAATGCCTTAAACTACGTTGCTAGCAATTTTAAAATGATATTTTTTGGGTCGTTTTCAGCATACACGTCTCAAATGCTGTGTTTAGTACTTTTTATCACTTCTAGTCTAGGTTACTTCATCGAAGGCCTGGTTGCTACCTCAACACAGCGGTCAAATGATTGCACACGCGCACTTAGATGGATAATTTGCTATTGTAAATATGGAGAAACTGAGACGTAGACCGAGGGAAATGTGTGTAAAAAGGAAGAACCAGAGCCACACAAGATATCGTGACGGCAAAGGTCTATGCGGACAGTAGACTGTGCAACAAGGGCAGAAGAAAAGTTCTGTCACGGAAACGAAGTGTCTGTGTTAAAAGCAGTTGGGATATCCCACAATAAAATAAGACCAAGAAGTTATCTTTCTCCTAAATCAATCACTCATTTTTCTTACGCATTGTTTAGAAATTTGACCTCGACAGGTGTTTGGAAATGCCTGTTATCATTTTCATACTTTCGTGCATGCGCAGTGTTTATTACCTATTCAATAAGCCACGTTGATGATATTTTTTACCTTGTATAATCATTACCTGATGATGCCGTAGATCGGCGAACGTTTGGAAAACTAAATTATCGTAGGATACCTGGTCTCACTTGATTTACTCGTCTGACCATGTTGTATAATCAATTACAATTTTTTTAAAATAATTTTTGTCTGGCCCACAATGTAAACTATTGGGTCTGACAGTAACTGTGATAGCCATTAAAGTCTGTTCATTTAATTTTTACTAGTTAGGAACATAATATGGGCCTAATCCCATATTTTCAGGGGTGACGTTCAAAAGCATAATGCTCGAAACAACGTTGTAAATAGTTTATCGTGCACGGCCCGAGCACGTGTATGTATCACGT